GAAAAGACACCTAGGAAATAGTGTAATTTATATGTCGGCTTATTAAAACCCTGAGCCTCACTGAGCCGCAAATGGAGGTACAATGCATATCCTTCCAATATAAAAGTGTACTCTAAAGAATCATAACCACCCGCCGTACCTCGCGAACCGAAGTGCTATTTTAGGTGGACACGAAAATGGCGGATTTGTAGGATTTCTTAAAGTGAGCGCAAATCGTCTTCCGTCCTTTCAGTTTGGACAGAAATACCTTTAAYTAAGTACCTYACARGTACTATCAATCTATAATTTATTGTATACTTGACGCATTTAAACGTATGTAAACAATAATACGAGCGCGCAAGGTACAACGGGTGGTTATGATTCTTTAAATAAATTATCTTCCTTTTTATTTTAAAATCTTGGTTTTGTTTTAAGACTCAATAACGAATACACATTGTTTTTATTGCTCAACTCCTAACTGACATGTGGCGAAACATGCGGCTCCCTCGCTCGGCGACGTCCACTATCCGACAATGATCGAGTTTCAGTCGGAAATCCCGAGTGATTATCGATTCTGAGATTCTCGCAAAGCATCATCTCTCTGGTCTTCGGAAGAAACAAAATAAGTTTTGTAAAAGTAAAAGCATAAATACTGTATAATATTTAGCTCTTTGCAGCTTTAAACATCTCATCATGCCTCGTATTATGATAAAAGGAGGTGTATGGCGAAACACGGAGGTAAGAAATTGTCATTTTACAAAGATCCTGGTTAGAACGTCAAACATGACGCTGTACCATGTGTTGCGAAGTGTACTAGAGCTCAATAAACTCTTACATTGTAATTTTTTGCCTTTTGCGTTTAGGATGAAATTCTTAAAGCTGCTGTTATGAAATATGGCAAGAACCAGTGGTCTAGAATTGCATCTTTGCTTCATCGTAAATCTGCTAAACAGTGTAAAGCTAGATGGTCAGTAAGAAATAATTATTTTATTCATTTTCGGTCCCTGGTTCTAATCTTAAATTGTGATATTTGTCTTAAGGTATGAGTGGCTTGATCCAAGCATAAAAAAGGTAAGCTAAAGGTTTCCTACAAGATTGAACCTTTCAACTATTATCTAGACAATGTAAACAACAAACAATGCATGCAATGAGTAAGCTAAATCACTGATCAATTATAATCCTTGATGGCTGTGATCTATGAATTCCTGAGGATGCAATAATGTTGATTTATGGTATAAACTTTTTTGTTGATTTGTTTTATGTAAGACTGAATGGAGTAGAGAAGAGGATGAAAAACTTCTTCATCTTGCTAAACTTATGCCTACACAATGGAGAACAATTGCGCCTTTGATTGGCCGAACAGCTGCTCAGTGCCTGGAGCGCTATGAATATCTACTGTAAGTGCATCTAATTCACACCATAACGATTGCATAAGTAATTGAAAAGTTCTCTTTAGACTTTACTCTCTTAATGGAAGTAATAGCAAGTAGCATCCATATAAGTTGGTGGTCTTGACTCTATAATGTTGTTATTGTATCTACTAGTGATCAAGCGCAGGCCAAGGAAGAAGATGGAGAAGATCCTCGTAAACTCCAACCTGGCGAGATTGATCCTAACCCTGAAACTAAACCAGCAAGACCAGATCCTATTGACATGGATGAAGATGGTAAGAACCAATACCAAGCCACAAGTATAATTTATTTATCACTCATGTATAGTTAATGATGAACACATCCAAATATTGTTTTTTAGAGCTTGAGATGTTGTCTGAGGCAAGGGCTCGTCTTGCTAACACCCAAGGCAAAAAAGCAAAGAGAAAAGCCAGAGAAAAACAGCTAGAAGAAGCAAGGTAAGTATCATCAACATTTAAATAATATCATTATCATTAACATCAGTGAATGCATCATCTACTTCATCCATCTCCATGTTTGTTACTACTAAATAAATAGAACTGAACATTGTCTTTCAAACTTGTTTGTACAGCCACTAGTATGATATCATTATATCTACATGTATTAATGCTTCAATGTTGCTTGTGCTGTCACTGTACTTAGTTTAATGCTTCAATGTTGCTTTCAAATAATATGCAGTTAGCAATTATGCAGTTCATTTTTTGACCACATTTCTATTGCCTCATTAGACGACTTGCTGCCTTACAGAAGAGAAGGGAGTTACGAGCTGCTGGTATTGAGTAAGTAATAACCTTAAACGATTATACATGTAGTCTGTTATTCTGCAAGTGACTTAGTTTCAACAGAAGTCAATTGATGCATAGCTCTATCCTTGAACCAATAGCATACTTTCAAAGATTAAAGTGCATTTCATGTAATCAGCCATTGTAAAGTTAATGTTATTTTAATTGTTCTGTCTATAGTATCAGAAAGCATAGAAAAAAGAAAAGAGGAGTAGATTACAATGCAGAAATTCCTTTTGAGAAGCAGCCAGCTTCTGGATTCTACGACACATCAAATGAAAACTTGCCAGAGTATCAACCAGACTTCAAGAAACTAAGACAAGACCACTTGGATGGGAAAATGAGGGATGAAACTGAACAGGTATTGAAAAAATTCATTTTAGGACAAAAGTCATGTTTTTTTCCTGGCATAAGAAGATATTTCCAGGAATTCCTGGAAAATAGAGTTATTTACAGTACCACATAAATCTTCTCACAGCAAGAAAGAAAGAAGGACAAGAAGAAGATGGAAAAGAAGAAAGATAGTGATTTGCCAAGTGCTGTCATGCAAATCAATAAGTATGAAACACAGCATCTTTTATGTCTGCTTTTAAGCAGTAATTTTGTTGATTTGTGTATGGATGGATGAGATTGGATGAGTAACTTAATAGAGATAAATGGATGAATGGGATGGATGGATAAATAAATGGACAATTGACTTGAATGTATAAATTAATCACTTTAGAATAAAGATGGGGGTAATCAAATTGTTTGGTATTTTAGGCTCAATAACCCTGAACATGTCAAGAAAAGGAGCAAACTTGTTCTTCCCAAACCACAAATCTCAGATGGAGAATTAGATGAGGTAGCTCTCTACTTAAATATTGTTATCTTATTGATGCATATTTGTTGATTGTTTTCTTGCTTCTGTTTTGCTGTGTTCCCTATGTCAGGCTTACAGTACACTGTATATCACTAAAATACACCTTGCCATTCACTAATTTTATAGTGTGTTTAATACACTATGTAGCAATAAGCTGTTTCAGTCTCTGTCAGTGTTTGGCTTGTGATGTATTTCATATTAAGTAATTTGTTGTTGGTTTCAGATTGTAAAGATGGGTTATGCCAGTGAAATGGCAAGAGCTGCAGTTGAGGATGGCAGTAGACCATCAGATGCCTTGCTGAGTGAATACTCTGTAACACCTTCCATGGGACAACCTTTACGAACACCACGGACACCGGCTGAACAGGACACTATTCTTACTGTAAGTTAAACTCTAGCTTAACAATAACAGCTTTGTCTGGAATTTTTTTCCCTAGCTTGTTTTTTAAAGAAAATAAAGTCCTGTAATGCTTGTAGCCAATTCTTTTCTGTTCTTTCAATGCTCATTTTTTATTCATCATTGTTATAAAAGGAAGCACAGAATATTCTTGCATTGTCCAATGTCGACACGCCTCTTAAAGGAGGACTCAATACCCCTATGCATGAAAGTGACTTCCAAGGTGTTACACCAAAGCCGCAAGCTATTCAGACACCAAATATGCTACTATCAACGCCTTACAGAACACCACAGGCTGAAAGCACAGGTAGGACACAAGGCTAAGTAACAGTTGTTTTTCCTGGTAATGTGAACCTATTTCCAGGAAACAGTGTATAGATATTCCTCCTTCATGTTTTTCATTCATTAAGCTTTATTAATTTTGTACTTTTCCTTGTCATGTGAATGTATTTTCAGGAAGTACGCCCCATCAAGGAACTGGTACAACACCAGGACGGTCCTCTGTTAGAGACAAGCTCAATATTAACCCAGAAGAAGGGTTAGCAGAACAGTACGAGTCAGAATACATGGTGAAACAGCAACAGGTGAAGATTAATTGTCATTTGATTGCTGCTACTTTATACAGCATAGCAGCTTCTTCAGACAACTAATGGTTTAATATTTCTTTAGAATGATATGAAATTACAGCTGAAGGCTGGTTTGGCAAGTTTACCTGCTCCTTCTAATGACTTTGAAGTTGTCCTGCCAGAGGTGAGTGTACAATGAATGTCATTTACATTGTACAACCTTATTTGTGGTCACAGTTAGAACTGGCTGGCCAGACCACAATGACGTGTCTAGCTGGTCAGTTGGTTATGATGTTTCTAATGAGCTTCAATTGTTTCCAGACCCCTGCAGATGAAGCCGAGAGACAGGCTTCTGGATTTGTTGAAGATGCTGCTGATGTTGACGATAGAATGTTAGCTTTACAAGCTGAACAAGGTATGGTGGGTATTTAGCAGTAGACCCGGACAGTCTGTCAGTCATTCAAACATGTCAATCAATCAGTCAATTAATCCTTTTTTTAATGACAGAGGAACTTGAAAAAAGAAGACGGTCACAAGCTGTACAACGCGACCTACCACGCCCATCCAATGTAAACACTACTGTCTTGAGGCCTGTTAATGTTGATCCTCCCTTGAATGCTTTACAGTCGGTAAGCAATACATATTGTATAGAAACATGATGATATTGCCGTTATCACTACCTATGTATTTCAATGCCGTATCTCCGCATGCCCATGTAATATCATCTTTATGTTTCAGGCAGAAGAACTTATCAAGCAGGAAATGGTGAAAATGCTACGTAACGACATCATTAAGAACCCCACATCACATCAAATAGAACAGCTAACAAACAAGAAGAGTAAGAATGCTGCTCAAGCTGTTATTTCTGCTAATCGAGCAGAGCTCAAACGTGAACCTCTAGATTCATTTACCGACGATGAACTAGCTCAAGCTAAAAACTTGCTTAACAATGAAATGGAGTTTGTTAAACAGAGGATGGGTCATGGGGATTTACCTCTTGATGCTTATTCTAAAGTGTGGGAAGAGTGTTACAATCAGGTTAGTGTTCTAGAAGACATGATCATGATGATGTGTTCTACAATGTAAGGGAGGACTAATGTGTAATAATGTCATGAAAGAGTAACTACGTTGACTGGTTCTAAAGGCTTATACACTCTTGGAACCTTCAGGGATGTTCTGATGATCTGTTCTAGAACACATAATCATTTTAAGAACTCTTGATCATACTAATAAATTCAATTTCAGGTGTTATTTCTACCTTCACAACAAAGATACACCCGAGCTGCAATGGCAAGTAAAAAAGACAGATTAGAATCATCAGAAAAACGTTTGGAGGTAAGAACAATTACATTCATTTGAATATCAGATTAAATACTGATTGCAAGTCTTATTTCTGACTATCTGTTTCAGTTAAATCGATCTCAAATGACAGAGGAAGCAAAACGAGCTGCTAAAGTTGAAAAAAAGCTAAAAGTTATTCTTGGTGGCTATCAGGTAACTGACTAATCATTTATGTGAAAGATTATTATGTCATAACCAGACACCAAACTTATATTGGGGCCATGCAGGATGGTGGATTTGTTGATTAGATATATATTTAGATATTTGTATGTTATTTTTCTATATAGACACGGGCAGTTGGACTTGCTAAACAAATATCCGATGCACATGAGCAGTTGGAGCAAGCTCATGTCGAACTGAAGACCTTCCAGGTTCTACGAGAACAAGAACAGCGTGCTATACCTAAACGACTAGAGGTTAGAAGACTGATGGATGGAAGATGTGGATGGAAGAATGAGAATGGAAGAATGAGAGTGGATGGACAAATGAGAATGGATGGATGAGAATGGATGGATGAATGAGAATGGATGGGAAAATGATTGAGTGAAGTGATTACTACATGACAAATATTAGTTGATATTCTAAAAATCCTTATTTTATTCTAGTCTTTACGTGAAGATGTTCAACGGCAAACAGAACGTGAAAGACAGTTACAGACGTCCTATTCGCACTTGTTGTATGAACGAGACAACCTTCTGGCAAAACTACAAATTAGTCAGTGAATTCTATACATGCTTGCTGTATTATCAACCACTAAACAACCAACTATTGATATGAAACTTGTCTAAAAGACCTTTTGTAGATCAAAATGTATTGTAAGAACTTCCATGATTAAAAATAAATTTTGTGAAAGTTCAAAACCATTACTGTGTGATTTATTGTATGTGTGAAGTAATACTGTATGGTAAGAAAAGGATTGAAATAACACTTGGTCTGCTTCAATTGTAAGAGAATATGTCATCCCTCTTAACACAGGCATCCCATATGTTACATTCATAGTAGACTAAAGCCAAATGCTCAAATACAATATTCCTCACACAATGATTTTTCTCAATGATTATTTCATTAAATGAAATAAATTTGATATTTCATTTTATCCTTCATATTTTATTTCAAATATTACAAAATGTCAAACACATCTTATGGAAGCCGATATAAACGACATTAGTTCACCTCAAAAATATACAATTAATACAAATTTTTCAACTCTTGATTCATATAAATCCTTATTTATCAAGGTTATTAATTATTCTCCCTTTTTCTTGTGGAGGTCTAAATTCATGGAATTACCAGGAATTACATTTTAACATGCCAGGAACACCATACTATAGCTACTTTCTTGTTACCATCTATGCTGTCAAAGTGAGGAAGATTACACCTTTTCATTGTCTTGGTGATTTTTAACAAATGAATTGTTATCTGGAATTGCCTGGAATTATCCTGGTAAATCTAGTGACTTGCATCTATGATGGGAGAAGTGCTGTCCACATGTGAAAGCAGGCGGCATTTAGTACGCTGTATATGTGATCTCTTATTGGTTTATCAAAATGACGTAGGTCCTCAGTGACATCACCACTAGCTTTGGCTTCATCTCGGAATACAACTTGGATGTCCTGACAAAAAAAATCATTTAAGCTTATGTCTCCTATTCTTGTGCTATGTTATGTCAAACAATATGCTTATGCTAATGCTTTTTGCACATGAAAATCAGCCTTACCGTTACCGTTTTGTTATCTTTGGTGTCAACAATGACAAGAACAAACATGTCGAGCTCGTTGGGATTCAACAGGACAAGGTAATGAGCCTCTGCATCTTCACCAGTTGATGAAAACATACGGTATAACATGGAGAACTTGGCCATTAACACCCTTTAAGGATGACAATGTAATCATTATTACAACTGTGCAAGGAGGGTGGGCAGGGCAACACAGTGTTAAGGTGTGAAAAAAGATGCATTTCTCATTAATTAAATAGTTCACTGTATACTATAACAGTTCACTGTAACTAACCTCAATAGGCTGTGATACCAACTTATGTTCATAGAGAGCAAAGGAACAAGGTTTTTATCACAGTTTCTCAGTGATTTACAAACAACTGTTGACAGCAGGAGCTTCAACTCATCCAATGACAGCCCTCTGGAGGTTGTGGCCTGCGGAGCAAATTCAAGAAATGGTGTCATAGTTGCCTCGCAACTACACTACTAATGTGATTTAGTAAATCAAGGTGTTCAAACATTAAGAGTTTTGATAAATGATTGTCTTCAGTAACACAAGTTAGCGTTGCTTGCCATGAATACTCTATCTTCCCAGGTCCCTTTTATCCCATCCTCAAACTAAGTGTGTTTTTCCACAATGCTTTTTGGTACCATCTCATCATTTAAAATGACTATTGATTTATAAACAGTCGGATAGCATTAATAGGAAAAGCAATAATCCACACACCTCACTTCCAATGTCTCTGTAAAGTTCTTCTACCTCAATCCCCGAGCTCCAGTTTGCAGCCAGATCTGGAACAGGCCTTCTAAATTCACTTTTCCTCCTCTTCTTTGCTTCCTTTTCCTCATCACTAGTCCCCTCAGCTAGCAACCTAAACCACAGCATGTCACGCTTGCTGTGGGTCTGGGCACGACATATGACAAGTACCAAATGATCATGGGCTCTTTGAGATGACTCATTAAGAAGAGCGACTTCACGAGTAGAACGTCCATCCATTGTACTTATGGCACCCGAGGAATATGAATGGGGGCTTGTTCCCAGTCTCTTTTTAGACTCTGGTATATTTTCATCCGAGTGGGACTGGGTAATTGATGATTTTGTAATTTCTTGGACCATCTTGTTTAAGGAATGGGGCGAGGATGCTGATCGATGGAATGACTGCGCATCCCTTGTTGTTAAGTTTGTCTTTGATTTTCGTTCTGGTGAATACTTGGTTTGTTGCGGTGATGTGTCAGGAACAGAACGAGCAAAGCGCACACGAGGACCTGTAATTATAATAATGTCCACAAATCAAAGTTTGACGCAAAAATATATCAATAATAACACTCAACATAGATAACTTAAACTTACTTTTGACCTCCAAACTTCCTCTTCTTTCACCATTTTCCCCATGCGAACCTAGCGATGGATTTGTAGGAACTCTTAAAGACAGCTTTGGAAACAACTCACGTCTACTTGTCATCAAAATGAAGTATTCAAGATGAATTACACTTCCCTCAAAAGCATTTTTAAGAGTGACAACCATTGTGATGTCATATTCAGCGTTATCCCGTAGATTACTGTAATAATGCGAGTCTTTCGATGGAAACAAGACCTGGTCTGTTCCAAGCAGGATAAAACTTGTGTCTCCATCATTGATCTTGTTGACTTTAATGGTGCTGAAGTCATACTGACTGGAATGCTTTACGATGTATTTGAATACGTTTATTGATGAGATGACAGGATCACACGGCACGGCGATCTCACCTGAACACAATCATAGACACAATCATAGTGGTTTTGGTTATATGAAGCAACCATAGTCAGAAAAATATTAGATTTTAGTGGCTTTAACAAACTTGCATTATGTCAAATAATACACTAAAATAAATCAATGTATTTTACTTTTTTCATTTACTAGTCTATCACTTACCTTTACAAATGTGATTCCTAGCAAAACCTGGGTACTCGGGGTGTTTCCTGAGCACTTCACCTAAAAGATCAGTAACTCGATAGCCTTTATTGAATATCATTTGACGACCACTTAAGTAGGACTGTGCTTGACGAAGATGAAAGTCATAGGTGAACGAAAGAAGATGAATGTAGTCCTTGTAGTGAGAACAGTCCTCCAGAAACATGCGACTCTCCTGAAACATTATGGAAAACATCTTATTTAAAATACAGCCTTTTAGAAAGTATCAAGCACAAGTTGCAGAAATCTATAGAACCTGTCAAATTAGCTTCAACTAGGTAAAAAACAAATTTGCTCTCTTGAGAACTAGAAACCACTGAACTTCATATCCACACCAATACAACACAGGGATCCCAATACTACCTAGACCACAGGTATCCCAAGGTTGTACTTACATGTTGACTGGTGTCATATCCTGATGGAATGCGAGAGCAGTCAATGGCATAGAGACGTACATAGAAGTACAAACCCTGCAAAACAGATGTTAAATCAGGGTATTGATATAGAGACTAACAAATAGTCTCACTTTTAGGTATTAAAATTAAATGAATGGAATATGGATATTGAAAAAGTGAATAAAAATAACATTATCAACACAAGACAAAGAAACCAAGTTATATCTGGACAGACCTGGAATAAAAGTTCCATCAACATGATCCCTCCAGGAGTTGTCTTCTGTAAGTACTGGTGAAAACGAGTTTGATCCGAGTTGGTCCTGGACAGTAGTTGTTTCATGCTTTCAAGTTGTTCTCCTTTCATTTTGTTGGCCCCCGTTCGTCGGGAAAGACGTTTTGAACCTTTGACAGGTTTTGGTGACTGTGGTCTTGTCTGCACAACAACAAACTGTAGAGATTGCATGTACTGTATGTACTGCTGAATAAATGCACTTCTTAGGTTCTTATGCCATTCATCTTCAGCCTCTAGCAAAGATGAGGATTTCTCTTTAGAATTTCTAGATTCAGAGATGGTGGAATCCAGAGTTTTTTGTGGTCTTGTAGGAGTTTCCGATGCAGTGTCATGAGGACCTTTGTTGCTTTGTTGTGTACTTTGTTGACTATTGTCTGATAATTTTTCTCTCCAATCAGGATGAAAAAGCAGTGGACATGCACAGTAATGGACAAGACGAGATGAACGTTTGAGAATCTCAACTTTATCATCTCCTACAGGGTGGTGGGGTGGAGCTTGCTGCCATTTGACATACAAATCATTCAATGCAGCCTGGATGGTATTCTTCTTAATTTGTGCAGCACGAATTTCTCTGAAATGATAGCCTTGTCGCTTGACAGGGTCCCTGTGGTGAAGATATGGAGTTCGCTGAAGGGACCTGGAGGGAGTGACTTCACGGAGGACTTGATCAAATACCGTTAGGTAAGAAGCAGATAACGACCGAGAGAAACCTCGTTCTCGATCCAATGGAGTTGCCTTGCTTATCAATGCAAAGACATCTATGTCACTGGTCGGCATGGAGTATGGATTGTCGTCTTTTTTACCTTGGTTGATTTGAGCAAATTGTAGATGATGAAACAAACCCATCTTCTGGGTTACTAGGCAACTGGTTAAATGACAGCGCGCATTGTTCCAGTGGATCAAACGCTGGATTTGGTCTTCCAGTGACTGATTGACATCTGTAGCCAGGTTGTATGTGTATAAAATTATCTGGAAAATACAAAACCTAATAATGAGAACTGGAAAAGAATGGGTGGGAAGGAAGGATGGATAGAAGAGGAGATAAGAAGATTTCTAATGCAGGATTTGTTACCTTTTTGTCAATGAAAGTTAACAGAATGAGCTTCTGTCTTGGTATAGTACATGTTGAAGTACTACAGAGAGATGAGCTGTCTTGGCTTCTTGCTGTCACAACAGGTGATTCCAAGGCTTTGAATCTCTGCCGACTAGAAAACGCTCTTGTTGTACTTTCATCTGATATGTGTTCACTTTCCATTCCTAAACATGATTTCCATTGATTGTAGTCCCGTGCAATTAGAACAAAGAAACAAGGAGAACCAGGTGTACGTATAAACACACGACCAGTCATGTCCACTGATGACTCATTCTCTCCCTGTGCCTGGTAAATTAATGATTGATATCAATACAGTGAAATCCCTATTAAACAGGCACCTCTGGGACTGAAGCAAATGCCTGTCTTAGAGAGGTGTCCATCACTCTTCAATAATAGGAACATCATTGTACTTTACTTAGTTAACTATTCTGGACCAAAATTTTTGGAAATTGAAACAGATTGATTCAAATTATGTGACCAACAAGAGCGTGATTACATACCTTAAGAGCTTCTCTTCCTGGCTTGTAATGAGGACATGAACACCTGTGTTCTTTACTCTCACTATCGTCATGGTGACAGGTGTTGTCATGGTGATCATCAGGTGCTTGTCTATAAAATCTTGGGACCATTTCAGGACACATGTTTGCCATAAGATTTGTTAATTCAGATAACATGAAATCTACTGCAAAACGAGAGAGAAGCTTTCCCTCCATGAAGTAAATGGATGGTGCACCAAGCCGGTGAGCAAATAAGAACAGTTCTCGTCCTGGTTCGTGAAAACTGAAAGGAAAAATGGAAAATGTGAAGGAAAAGATAAAAAATCTGTGATTTGTTTTAACATACTTTGGATGAAGCTCTCCTTTCTCTCCACTTTCATACTGGATTCTTTTCGTCATTCTATCTTTGATCCTTCTTCTCCTCAATTCCAAGTCCTGCCAAGTTTCATCCTTTTTCACAGTTAAAAGAGCATTAGTTGGAGGATACTGCAGGCTTGAGCTATATTGTGTAGGGTCCACATTCATTGTATTTAATGGGTGACTGCTGTCGTTGGTGGGTGGAGTAGCATACTCTTGTGATTCACGAATCTCTTGCTGGCTAAATGTGTCATATGTTTCCTCTAATTTAAGTTGTGAGTCATTACAGACAGAATCCCGTGGTGCCTCCACATGATGATGGCTGTCTTCATCATGCATTTCAGCGTTTGACTGTTGATTCTCCTCAACATTTTTCTCACATGAACCTTCAATTGCCAATTCTGCATTTTCACTTGAAACATTATTATCCATACCAACAACATCAGTGGGTGTTGCATCCTTAGCAACAGTTTCCATAGCAGCACTATGTTTGATGGTAGTATCCTTAGCAACAGATTCATCATTGGTAATGTTGATGGGGGAAGACTTTGGCATCACTTCAAATCCAAGTTTCTGATTTGTTTCTTGCGTATCGTCTTTTTCTGACTTTACCAGAGATGGTTCCTTACTTGTTGTTGGACTTTTCTTGCTCTTGAACAACTTGTCACGTATATCAGCTGACTTGGATCTCCGGTGTCCTTTTGATGACTGCTTTTCATGGAACGATTTGAATTCCATTCCCTGACTGTCTGTTGATGGAGTTCTATGGTGACATGGTGCACTCTGGGTAAAACATTAAATTGATAAGATTAAGGCTCCAATGGATGAACGAACAATAAACAAAATAATGAATGAATAATTCCAATTGGGAATAATTAAATGGATAAATGAGAAAGAAAAATGTCAGAAATGAATGCAAACCACCAAATACTAAACCTTAGTGCTGTCATTTGATATCTTCCTTGAAATTTTTGTCTTGCCATCACTTTGGCCAGTAGACGCCTCACTCTTCTCATCCTTCAAAGTTTCCAATTTGACACCAAGTTTACTGCTTCTGGGCGAAACATCTGATGGGGTAGGGGGTGCCGACAATGATCGCAGTTTAAAGGTCTGTGTGACAAAATATTCCTCAGGGATGGAGGACAGGGGAGCAGGAAGAAGCAGATATTCCATTAAGAGATCACATAAAGCATGCTGGGTAATACACTTTAGTTGACTGGATAGTTGTTCTTGACCTATGCTGCCTCGCTTCCAGATAGAGAACTCAATGATGTAGTTGTCTTCTGCAAGGACAAACAAAAGCAAGAATAAATAATGAATACAGATAACAGAATAAACATGTTGTAAAGGCAGATTGCTTAAAGGATATTTTTATGATTTAAACTCATTAAAGATAAGACAAATTATATCATGAGTGTACCCAACACCATGTCATCAGATAATGTTTGAACTTCTGTCATGTCTTCGTAAAAGTTTCGATCCAGGTGCTCAACATTAATGGATGGTACTCTAGCCACCTCGAACTGAATCTGTTCTCTTTGAGAGTCTAGAAATCTCATTGAAATACAAGCCACACCTACAAACAAATGGAAACTGAATGAATAAAAGAAAGTAGCAAAGAGGACGGGAAGGAAGTAATGTAGCTATGGAGAACAAAAAGATGAGAAGGAAAATGGGCAAGCAACAAGCAAGTGTATTCAAGACTTGTTCCTGATATGTAATAAATCACATACATCGCGCTAGAATCACATAAATAACATCTGAAATGTGAACTAACGGATATATAATATTGGGGCGAGATGACCGTAATTCATATAGAAGCTGTAACAAGACAAACATACATTTAGCACCAGAGGAGTGTGGTCTGTTGTAGATAAAAATCTCTGTTGATTGGTCATTTGGTGTTGCATGAGGATCCCTAAAGTGCTGCCTTGGGTTTGCTTCAGCATATCTGGGTACAGTGAAGATTTGTAGCAGGTTTTGTTTTAAGTAATAAAATAGTGGATATAGGTAACCAATCTCAATTGGTGGAATAACAAGAGATAGTTTGTCAGATGGAGCACCATCGATAGGCTGAATAAACTGAAATATAAAAGAGAACAGAATAAAGATCACAAATATCTTAGTTGCTTACTGCTCTGTTTAATGGGTGATGTCTGCTGGTCTAAAGATTGACTGCTCAAGTCTGACCCTTTGAGCATCTCTGCTATAGAAGCTGTATCTAACCACAGTTTTTTTTTTGCATGAAGTGCGCTGCACCCTTGACATTGTTTTACCTGTGTGATATTAGACTTACCATGACATCAGAATAATTTAGTTTGCTGTTAGGATTTCGTGACAGTGTAAAAGTGAGAGCATCAAGCGTTGCATCATCAAGACGGTTAATAAGAACTTCAAGTAAGTCAACAGTTATCTCTGTCCCAGGATCATCGACACCATACACATTGAAGGCAAGACTTTGTTTCACTTTGTCATAAGGCAATGACTGAGAATAAGTCCTTTTGATATTTGATCTTGTAGGTTCCTATTCATAAATGTTTGATAGTAAGTATTGTAAGAGCTTTTAATGGTTCATCAACCACTAGAAGAGCCATGCTTGCCCACTTAAATATCAAAATATATAATATTCAAATAAAAAACAGCTTACACTCAGGTCATCATCAGGTTCTGGTTCTCTAGGTAGAGATATCTGAGACAGTGATAGCTGTGAGCCCTTTTGAGACAAGTTTGACATTGCATCATTGTGAGATTGTGTGTCTAGCTCTTCTGCAAGGTCCTGGGAAGGATTTTCATGAAGAAACTGGGGCTGGTCTGCAAGGACACACAGGGACTCCAACAACCTAGAGAATGAAACATTGAGAACTGTGGTAAGATGATAGAAATGAAATTGAAATGTAAAATTTGCACTTTCAAGAAACAATTTGGAAAACCAACAAGTGCTAAGTTGTAAAACATAGAAATGCATATTTAAAACTATGGGTATGAATACCTAAAATAAAATATTTTTCCACTGCTTTCCTTATAAACAAACATGTCTCTTCTATTCTTGACAGCAAACCGATCAAGAACACTTCTAATGATCTTATGTCCAAGAGAGTTGCTAGTGTTTCCTGAGGGATCCTGGAGACGAGGGTGAAATATCAGATGATCAAACCACTTGCTGGAACACTGGAAATGACCTGGCTGGTAGATGTATTCGCCCTGGACATAACGACCAAGGTAACCTGGAATAGAGTTGGTGATAAGTTAGAAACATAATTATCATGGAAACCCAACAGTACATGAATTAAGTAGTCTCACCACTGCCATCACTTTTACTGATGTAAACTCCAACAGGGGACACTGACATTCTGAGGTCTTCGTGTTTCCAGATATCCTCATCTGCCTCTGGAAAGAGGAGTGAGTTACACATCTTGGTGTCATAAAGATCTTGTAGAAGCATCCTCTGAAAGAAACAAGATTTATTGGTTGTATTAATAAAAACCAGGACAAGATTTTACTGAATGTATTGGTACGTAAAAAACAAGAATAATAATGAAACACTCAAACAAATAAACACTCAAACAAATGAAAAGGAAGGATTCTCACCTGATTGACAGCTCTACAGTTTTCATGGATGGCATTCACTACAATTTCTATTAGACCACCAGCCATAGTTGGAGACATGTGGGAATCTTCACTGTGCCTACACCAATAAAACAACATTATTTAGTACACAATGACACAATGGACTTTAAGTAGAATTTAGTAATGACAAACATACCGTAGATGAAAAAATATGTCCACACAATTATTACACAGCCTCAGAACAAGCCAGAACTGGAGTTTATGCTCTTTAGGACTTGACTTTTTACTGCTTGAAAGACTTCTTTGCTTCTCTCCATCTTTACAGCCATCCTCCTTTGCTGCATCAATGAGTGAAATCATTTCAAGGGCTTCAGAATTATGACTTGCTGAAATAAGACTTGTTACTTGTTGATTGTTGGTTGGGAAGCATTCGTCCCTATCTGGTAAGTGTATTGGAGTTGAGGCAGCTTCTACAGGGGAAGAGAAATCAAATTCTCCAACAGGAGTTGAGACATCATCACAACAACATAATGGTGCTCCTGAAGTGATCACACTCAAAGGGACTGATATATCAACTGATGATTCATTGGAGGCTATGGGTACTTCATCTATGTTAACCTCACTGGTCTGTGTAGATTCTTCTGTATTTTCCCTCTGTTGTCCTTCCTCTTTTAGATTTTCTTCATTTTTGGAGGGTTCTCCACCCACCTGGAGATCTCTCTTTTTGGAGGGTTCTCCACCTATGTGGGGTTTTTCACTTCTGGAGTGTTCTTCATTGCTATAGGTTTCTGTCTCTTTCAGATCTTTGAGTTGTGATCCATCACCACTATTGTCTGATTTAACTTCCACACACTTCTCTGGCGACTTCTCTTCATCATCTACAGACATTTCAGATTCTTCTGTGCATACGCTGTCTACCTTTCTAACAGGATCTCCACACTCAGTCTGTACATCAATTTTGCTTTTGTTATCCACGTCGGATGCATCTGTCTGGCCTTTATCACCTAAAATGTCTGATATTTCTTGGTCATCCTCACCTGGTAGTGGGCTTCCTGTTTCCATATTCTTTCCAGGAGACTGCTGAACAGCAATAAAAGTATTCCCAGCTGAAGGAGAATCTTGTGTTTGTGGTGAAGATTCCTTTGGAGAGTTTCCTCCAAGTACATTTTCCTGTGAAGTTTCTTCCAAGTTATCTTTAGCTTGATTTCTATTTGGCTCTTCATTTTCATCATGTTCATTAAGAGAAGTAAGATAGTAGTAGTCCTCTACTTTATTCAGTTTGTAATCCAATGAGTTCATCTCTTCAAACTCTTTCATAAAGAGCTCCATGCTTTGTTCAGCACCAAAGACAAACTGCAGTGAAATGTTTCTGTATATACACATTGGATGGCCTTCTGATTTCTGCACATGCCTTTCAACCTGGCAAAATTCAAAAACCTAATGTTAATTACTAAATACAAAGATATCTCCCTTTGTCTACACTTAACACAAAAAGTCTTATGGCCAGTTTTTGACAGGACTAAATCTAAATACCAGATATATATTCAAACATCACAAAAATATTCATAATCTATATTCAGATACACAAAAGACCTACAAATCATCACAATTAGTTAATATTAATGTTGTTGACTACCAACCTTATCCAATGTTGCTGTAGTATATGGCCCTGTGTGGCGTAACTCTGACACCACTTCATCTTGTAATAACCACTGAACATTCTCAGATATGGTATTCATGGCCAGTCTCTGTTGGTGAGGAAGACTGCGGAATGGATCTGGACCACTTAGACTTGAAACAAACAAAMAAACAAAAAACAAAAAATAAATCAAAGTATTTTTAAAACACTAATGCATGACATGGTTCAGAAGATAAAACAGGCATCAGCTCACCCATCAATATCATGAGAGGTAACTGTTTTGGAATCTAGTCTCTTGAACTCAAACTTTTCTTGTGGAGAAAGTGAAATTGGCGATTCTCCACAAGAACCAGAAAATGATGTTGAAAATGTTGGGTGATTGACACTGGACTTCAGGGTTGAGTAGTCTGGTACTGGAGAGAGCGTGAGACAGTTCAGATCAATGGTTATTTGAAGAGAAGGGCTGAAGAGGTCAAAGGATTCCTCAGCTTCTTCCATACGACGTACTATTTCACCTGGATTTCAAGAAATAACACAGGGAACCAATTACTAGATACATAAGTAAGACCACTAAAACTACTCAAGAAATAGAACAGGGTACCCAATCATAAAATAAACAACACAGGGTACACAATCATAAAATAAATAACACAGGGTACCCAATCATAAAATAAATAACACAGGGTACCCAATCATAAAGAAAATAACACAGGGTACCCAATCATAAAGAAAATAACACAGGGTACCCAATCATAAAATAAATAACACAGGGTACCCACCAATACAAACAGGTAAAGAGTCTATAGGTACAGGAGTCATTGTCCCACCACCAATGGTACTTCTGTCTCTTAGTGAGCATGTTAACTGCAGGAATAACGGAGTACTCAAACTTTTATCATCATCTTCAGCATCACCAAAATCACTCTCTCCTTCAGAACCTCCATAATCAGACTCATCAGAGTCACTTGAGAGAGGGCCGTAGTCTTCTTCATCGTCATGGATCAACACAACAGTCTCTCCAAACACTTCTTCTTCTTCATCACCTTTGTCATGATCTTCAATGTCTTCTTGGTCTTCTTCTGGTTCAAAGCTACAACTGGAAGGCTATAAAAGTAAAAATATTGAATCAATACTAACAATAGTTTTATTCTTAAGTATGAAAAATGGATGGATAAATGGATAAATGGGAAAGTGAATGAGAAATAACTAGAATCCAAAGATCTCTACCTTTCCATGGTTGGTTGTGATTTGTGGACAATAGAAGAACAAATCTCCATAGTTTGGTATCATCTTAAAATATCTTCCTAATATACCCATGAATCTCTCTTTAACTGACTGATGAAGACCTGTACTGGACTCACAATTATTATTCAAATATGACTTCAGAAAAGCCAAAGTTCCAAACTCTTGGAAGTTTTGCCTTTGGAAGATAGGAGACTGAGTTTTGTGGCAAAGCAGCAGGGATGATGGTCCTCTTACAGTGTCAGAAGATTTAGGAGACTCAGTGTTGCGCACAAAATGCCCACAAAGAGTACGAATAAATTCTGTGATGTCAATTTCCAGGAAGTTTTCTTCACAAGTGTCGACAGCTGACTGGACATCTCTTACATTCATCTGGTGTCCAGATTGAAAACTAGTGAAGATACTGGTCACAAAAGAACGGAAGAAAAGATCATGAACAGCGTTACAATGAAGGAGGAGATCCTTTGAAGACCCAAACCTTCCCAGAGTCCTTCCCTCTGACAAACGTGGCATTTCCTCCAAACTAAATGGGTCAACAAATACTTGAGATGTATGAGTGAAGTCCTGGAAGATATCTTCGCGCTTCCGGTATTCCTCAGTCCTTTGTCCAGATTCATATTTTTCATCTACATGTGTTAGATTATACAAAGGGCAGTCATAACAATACACAGGTATAGTGTATGAGAACCACCCGTCATTTTCCATATTTGGAGTGCTTTGTGTTAAAGGAGACAAATTCTCCTTAGTAGGGGTGGGGTTGTTGTCATGATCTTTGAACTGAACACATCTGCTGGTGGTCTCCTCTGGAGTTTTATCTGTGGAACCTTGGGAATTGAACTTCTGGTTTTCTAATTCAGTGGGTGAAGTTAAAACAGGAGGCATTATAAGACTTGCTGGACGATGTTTGTCTAAACTAGCAAATTGACTCAGAGGTGGGCTGTCTTGGGAAGATTCTTGGCTTGTTAAGCTGATTTCTTTTAGAGAAAAGTCAAAAATTAAAATATAACATTACAACTAGAGAGGAAAGTATTTTCTCATCAGTAAAACTCACTTTCTGTGTCTTCCATGATAGGTGTCAATGCTCTCTTTGTCAAGGCATCTCTGACTTTCTCTAATGTATTGCTATCTTTCTCTCTAAATATTGTTTTGTTATCACGACAATGGCTGACTTTCTTTCCAAATAACTTGACATATTTTAAACTTGCAGGGATGAAAGTTAACATCAGACGGCAATTACCAGCAAGTCCCTGGACTGAACGCACAAAACACCTCCACTTGATCAATGGTGTATTGTCCAGATTAGAGCCTTCACCTGGAATAGAAGTAAAATTAGATAGGGATGCAAATAGCACATTATCATCTGTGAAATTGTGAATGATAATAGGTTGGGATAATACCAGCACTGTTACTTGAATCAACAGAAGATGTTTTTGTTGAGTTTAAGGCATCAATAAAAGGCACAGGTATCCCACTTCTCTCTCGTTGTAGAATGTGTTGAACTAAATCTTGACAGTTTTTCTCGGACATTTTGATTTCACGTTCATGAAGATGACTCATGTCGTCAATTAGCAACTTGAAGAGAGCTTCATTTGGCATTTCTCCTTGGATGCTGGAATCTACAAGTAAAACATGTTACATCATATGTGGTAGCAATTAGATTTAAAGCTGATGTTTGTGATGATGATGATGATGACAGTGATAATGATGATTACGACTGCAGTACCTTGACCAGTTGCTTCTTTGACTGATGAAAACACCATTTCAACTTGACGCGTCTTTGGTAAAATCAATATAGGATCAAATGGATACAGTACACTCTCAACCGTCCAGTTCCTGTCTGGTGAAGGAGAAATTCTGCCAGGAAGTGGTGAATCTGTCCAGGATGGTGCTGAAATTACCTGGTCATCACACATACACCACAATCTCTCAAACGTCAAAAAAGCAGAAACGTACTTGTAGTCTGCTTCAAAGATCTGGAAACAAAACTCCTCATTAAAAAAATCATTAAAAAATCCCCATGGCTGGGATAAACCAACATTGCAGCGGACAATCACCACACTATGACAATCGCCGAACTTCCTAAGAAAGTTTATAGTTACAATGTTCAATTATTGTTTCCTCACTTACCGCCTGAGGAACTTCATAATATTGAAGTCCGTCCAGATACTGCAAAGACTTTTCTTTACAATCAATTACACCAAATTGGGGCTCGATCCAGACCTCTGTTACCATTTGAAGGTTGCCACCCGTGTCTTGTGAGGGAGCCTGGCCACCATCTACCCAATCTTTCACAGCATCTCCAGCTGGCTTACTGTATGGTGGAAACATCACATATTGAACTATACAAGAGTAGGTCTTGCCACTCTTGCTGGTTTTGTCCTGTTAGAAAAAGGAAAATATGACCAAATCAATAATATTTATTACAAGTGGCTTGCTGTATTTTAAGAAGAAAGGATGTATCACTGATAAGAAATCAAGTGCAATAATGAACGTTACATACCAGCATCTCAACCTCTTTTGCCATTGTAACAATTCCAGCATTATTGCTGGCAAAATTGAACTTTTCTTGTAAACGGAGCCTGAAACACATATTACATATAATTACAACAAAATGATAATGAATTGAATTGAATAAACCTTTATGATAATAATAATAATGACAATTTATAATAATAATAATAATAATAATGATAATGATAGTCATAATAGTGATACATACTTTGTAAGAGTATTCAAAACCCTAGCAACTACTTCCGTGTTAATATGTCTTGGCCCATCTTCCTGGACTGACCAAATCCAGCGCTGATGGAACATATAATGACATAAAACTTTCATGTGGTTTTCTTGGGTACGGTTGGCATACTGTAACCCTGTGTTAGTGCTGTATACTGAATACAATAATGCCTCTGGATAAGGGAAGTACAAATCCTCTGGGACACGGTCATATCTACCAAAGAAAGACAACAATTATAACATTTCTAAAAATAAATGAGTCCTCTGCGTTTACTAGTGATATTTTTAATACCGAGCTTTTGGCCTAAGCGGCCATTATCAAGGTAGAGCACACGTAAGATTTTAAACAACGCAAAAAACGGAAAGCGCGCGAGGAAACATAGCAATACAGCGCGAGCTAATTACAATCGATAAAATGTAAAATGGAATGGAATTATAACATTCTTGATAATTATTTCAATGTCTGCAGCCACTGATGCAAACATTTTAAAGAATGAACAACAAAGAGCAATTATAATAACAGTGTTACACAGCTACAATTCTTGCATTTTTGCATTTTTGATGAAATAAACAGATAACAAAATAATGTAAACAAAAGCACATGCTTTCACTGAAGAGGCTCGAACTGAACAAAATATATTTGAATGACTACTACTTAAAAGAGTGTCAAAGATCACAAAGATCATCTGATCACCATGGAAATAATTTCTAAGACCTTCCTGGCATCAAGCTATGAAAAAAGCAAACAAAAGCCTTGCCTGACAAGGATGCGCTCTAGAGGTTTCTTCAGTAACAGTACACAAGGTTTATCTTCTGCAAGTCTTTGGCTGCCTTTCTTTTTGCTTTTACTCTTTCCTTTGTTATCTTGCTGAAGCTTTGAGAGTTTGCTGACTGGTCCAATTGGTGCTTTAACTTTGATGAGGTTGGATCTTAACTCCTTTGTTATCTATACCACAAAATACAACTTGTTATTCATTGTAGCAATAACATTAAGCAATAATATGAAATGGAAAAGAAAGAAAACAAATCTAAAAATAACAATATTATACAATATCTTACTGCATGTCTAGTGTGACCAGGAGTTCCTCCAAGAAAAGCAAGTCTAATAACAATACATGGAGGCCTTGATGACACACGGATTAAACAGAATGACAAAGGTGGACTGTCAGCATTTTCTCTATGAACAACACAAAGATACAATACTTAGTTTTACTAAATACATTGAACTTTTAAAGTTAATTTTGGCATAGCAGAGATGTACAAATAACTCACCCTTCAATAAACTTTATGTACGAATGGTTTTCCAAAAGGACAAATGAGCTCATGCTTCGTAATAATGAATTAAGAGAGCTCAGAGCCATGCGGCACTGAATGGAATGAAAGAAATCACTGCCAACTGCGAGATGCATGTTCTTAGGTAGTGGGCTATAAAGAAAAGAATAATTTTTGATTAATTAATATCCTTTTAATGAATGTTTAATAATTAATTGTTGATAAATAACGACTTACATGTCATGTTCTAGTAGTAGTCCAATTCTATGGCAATGCATCCATCTTTGCCTATGAAAACAAATAGTAAATCAAACATTTCCCTGTGTAAACACAAATCAAATCATATTTGTTACCAGACAGTGGTGTCCAGGGTGAGGACAGGTTTCCAAAACACTGCAAACTGTGATTCTTGTGACTTGGAAATTTTCCTAGAAATAAATTACCAGGATTGAAAATGCAGCGTTGGCTTTAAACTGTTTTTTTTTAGAAGTGGTATTCTTACCTTTCATGCTGGAGTGATAAAACCTACAAAATAGAAATAAAGTCAGACCTTAAACTAGAAACATACACAGAGAAATCTCTTCTTACAGACAGGTGAGTTTTTATGGACACCTCTATTTTAGTTGTTGTAGTTGTTGTTGTTGTTGTTGATGTAGTTGCTGTTGTTGTTGTTGTTGCTGTTGTTGTTGTTGTTGTTATAAGGTTTCTGTAAGAATCCAGTATAATATCCTATAATTAAAGATCATACAGGATCCTGTCTATGATTTGCACCAGTGTTATGATATCTTACAGGATTGCTAGAGTTTGGAGGCAGATAGAACAATGGTACACCATTCCTAGCGCTGTCTGGTATTGTATAGTAACTTGGATTGGATGAGAAGGACTGGAGATGAGTTAGTAATTCATCTGTACTTTGAATACTAAAAATAGTAAAAGATTTGTAAGAGATTGTCATCCTGACCTTACTTCAGTTATCAAACAGTTAGAATGAACGCACTTAATCCGTGCAACTGTACAAAACTAATTAGTGCTTTTTAGTTGTATTTAGTGAATCTTGCATGCAGTACGCAAATTAAATTGAATTGATACAAATGGAGCATTCAATACCGTCTTGCTTCAGGTCCACTTTTAGTACAAATTAATTCTACTTATATTAGATTTTGTACAGTTGCACAGATTAAGTGCGTTTACTCTACCAAGTCTTGCATAAGGCAGCTTAAAAAATATTCACTTTGCTGTAACACTAGAGAGTACAAACATTAAATGTGCACAATACTTTCCACTATTTACTACAAAATAGTGTTAATTAAACAATAGAAAACAATAGAATTAGCATAATTTAGCAGTATTTAGTGGTATTTATGTTGCACAGTTTTGGTGTTTGTACTCTATTGGTTGTAAGTGAATGACCTAGTTTCACTGTTAAGTTTTGCATGCACACTCAGCTAATCAGCCAATCACAAATTAAAGTGAGTTAGGTCAGTTATCTTCTTACTTTTTCATAGTTTGACGAAATTTCTTCACAACCATTGCCCTTAAAGCAAAAAAGAAAAAAAGTAAATGAAAGACAATTCATGATATCACTGATGACGGCATCCAGTATTAATACTTACCTGTATGAACTAGTAATGGACTCTTTACTCAGATACGACACATCATGCAGGAACTCATATGGTGCTGTAATTGTCACCTCAACATGTGTCATACGGCTGAAAGAGAAAATAGAAACAAATCATTATGTTAGTTGAGGTATTTGTACTGAAAACAAACTGTGCTTACTTGGATTTGCTCAATGGCCATGCCTGAGAAATAAAAGAAAAATTATGAAAATACAATGAAAGCTGGTTGTCCAGTTAATGCCTGGACAGATTATTCAGTGAATGGATGGATGAAAAGTGGAAAAATGAAAGGTAATGTGAAAAAGTGGGAAATGAAAAAAGGATGAAATAAATATCTGGTGGATAAATCATTCAAAGAACAGATGGACACATAAATTCAAACAATTAACAAAGAAATAAACAATCCAAACACTTACAGCGACAGCCACATATTGAATTTGAACATGCTGTTTCCATGGCAATGTTAATGTTACTTCAAGTTGTTTTCCACCTTAAAAATGTCCATCAATGTCAGAAAATAAGAAAATTGATAAAATTTACCTCAAGAGACATAATGGTATTGATAATACATGTAGTTATCCATTCAGAAATTACCTTTTGTTATAACTACTTCCTGGACAGAGTACCCTTCACGCAGACGCACACTAAGGACACTGGGAATAAAGCAAGTTCAATGTATATTACTGTCCAGTACTATAAAAACTTTGATTGTTTTAGCAAAGTGTTAAATTCAAACCTGGTAATACTTGTGTGTAGTTTTGTTTCCATTTGTTTCTTGTGCATGGATGGCTGCATGGCATTTCTCTCCCATTCACTTAACGCATAAGAGAATGTCGAACTGAAAAAAATAATTATATTTCAAAGACAAAACATAGTGATATTGACAGCTTTCGATATATTAACACAGCACCACTGACCGTGTGTTTAGCAGTGGCCAGGCCAAATCATCCTTATTGAGATCCATTGCATCTCCTAAAAATTGAAATAACAACACAGTTTTTGAATTTTACTGGTTCAAACAAAGGGAGGATTTCTTAAATCCTCTTAAAATCCTGCAAATACATTCAAAGAACACATTACAATTATTATTGCTATAACATAATATTTATTATGTCTCATTATTTCTTAATATTTTCTCCTAATGTCAGCTCACCTATCCATGACTCGATCTTGCTCAAGTCGTAATCTCTTTGAAAACTCCAGCAAAGTAAAGATTTGTGGTAAAGATTCATAGCTGGCAGACCTAAAAAACAAATACATTTCACATTAAATAATGTACTAAATAAGGATTGATTGATGGCAAAAAAAGTCCAAACACTAAAACCATAAGTCAACTAAATAAACATTTGGTAATTTCTACAGAATTATACTTATTACTTTGTTTTCTATTCTATATACTAACTTTACACTATTTTAAGTATTTGCACTAGCTAAGTAGTAAGTAAAGACTTTTCTACTACCTTTGGATTCATCTTGAACAGTGTCCTTGACAACCTGCATGTATTATAAAATAATGACGATGACTATTAATATTATTAAGAAATAAACTCTATATTTAATGAGGGTGACAGGCACAAGTAAATCTATAATAATCAAAATAATAATCAAATCTAAAATAATGTGAATAGTCAAGTTAAGATTCAACTGTGTATCGGTACTTTTCAAGGTAGACCTGCTGAAATCATTGAACTTACCGGAGGAGTATTTGCTAGGTACGCCCCTGATGTTGCCATAGCAATAAACTGCATCAGATCACAGTGAGGTATGTAACCAATGCTATAAATAGACCAGACATGAACAAGATGTTACTATAATGGCTAAAAGTTTTGATCAACTGAACAGCTGACATACAACTCTTCTGAATTGAACAACAGCTACTCATTCATGTAAAGCTTTGTATTGCTGAGTGAGCAAGATGCTTGTCAGTTAAGAATCTTATTCTTTCAATTGGTCTACCATTTTTCAATGAGTGCATAAACGCAAATGTTGAATAGTCTGTAATTACCTGCAATGTGCATGAAAACCACTGCCAACTTTAAGAAATGTACAGCACACTGTGCTTCCTCTTAGCTGCGCCAGCAATGAATCAACAGCTGATGCATCAGGCAGTGCAAAAACACCATCTGTTATCACTACGGCACCTGGAATCAACCAAAAACAAAGATTATCATGATTGAGATGGCTGATGATAAAGTTGCATGCTGTTACATTTCCATCCATTGAGTGTGATGTACTCTTCAATCAAGGGAGACATTTTGAAGTTCATGGGAATACAGCTCCAAATGGAGGACAATTTGGAATAGTTTCAAAGAAAGCAAAATTCTTGCTTAAACTATTTAGCATTACTATCATTTGAGGTTCTGAGATTAAGCTTTGCAGCACAGTCTTACAAAAAAATGATCTAACGAACATGAAAATTGATGAACAATGATGATGATAACAATATTGATGAGAATACCTGCACTTGCATTATCTGGCAATAACTGCAATGCCAGAATTGCACTACGAAGCATTGCTATTGGTCCAGCTTCTGGTGACAAGAGTGTCACTGCATCTGTCTGATCATTTTCCGATTCACTGCCAGTTTTTTGTGTTTTTCCCTTTGCCTTTTGAGTTGATGCTATGGTGTCTGCAAGTGTGTTCTCTAGTTTGGTTAGTTTGGATCCAACTGTTTCTAGAACCATATCTACATTGTCTTCTGTTACTAGGACACCCTGAATGAGAATCTATAAAACAACAGTTAAATCATGTACTATTCAAGACAAATACAACATACATTAGACAATAAACAATGCTGTTGTTGAAAATCAAGCCGCCAATGGCAACACAACTYGAAGATTGATTGTGTAGACGAATACGGAACGATTGCCAAAATAAATAAATTCTATGAAATACAGCACAGGGAAACTGATAACACAAAATGAGTGAATAAGTTACTAGAAAACAAATAGTTTACAAGAGAGTTTACAAGTTAACAAGTTTACAGGAAAGCGAGTGAGTGAGTGACTGATTCGTGCCCCTCCAATAACTCTTTCATTGCTCCACAATCTTCGAATTAAAAAATGAGGTGTTTTTACCTGTGGTGTTTCTGGGCTTAGAATTGAAGTATACGCCAACACAGTTATATACAACTCAGGACGCAGGATGACATCATTGCCAGGAACTGAGAACTGAAGGAAAAGTCTCACTCACAATCAATATCAACACTATCATCACCATGTTATAATTCATTCTTGGTAATCATCATAGCAATCAATGGTATACCTGTGTATACATGCATGAGTGAGATTGGGTCAAGCTGCTTCCTTACTTGACCCATTCTTACTCATACGTGCATACACAGGGATACCATAGATAGTACGTATACTCACAGGTGCAACAAGTCCTAACAAACAGTTCTTGAATTTTAGAAATGCTTCATCAGTTATAACACTACCAGACTGGATGTCCTGGAAAAGTTGATAAAGCAAATTTATACCTACAAAAAGATCCCCTGATTTCTTCCCCAGTAATAGTTAAAATGCAAACCTCACAAACTTACCACAATAGCCAAGGATGGGCTGATGTCCAGACAGAACACAAATCGATATTTCCTGCCAATGAAGGTGATGTGAGTTGACGGCAGAAGATAAAGTTGTTGAGCAGGTGCAGTATTGTTATTTGAGAGAACAGACAGAATTTCTAGTTCTTTATTTGATGCTATCTGAAAAGACCAAAGGATACATGTAAATGGTAAAATAGTAAACTTGCTAATCAGTCAATAAAACTGTATATTAAACATGTGTTTGTTTTATTGTACACAGGTATCCCAAACAAATTCCTCCCTTCCTTTCAAAAAAATAGGCTTGCAACACAGAGAAAACAATGCTGGAAAGCACAGCAATGATGGAAGTTTCTGAGTCTTCTAACACATCTTTCATTTATCCTGCCTAAAATTGGCAGATATATTATTGAAATTTGCTGGGTCTAATAGTATACATTATTCCAGAAATATAATCCATCATCTTATCTTAGTAAACCCTGTAGCCTAATAGCTTTCCCTACCAATTCATCTTTGGGTTTTGGTTGAGGGAGAACAGAGTTGACCTGCTGGAAAAACCACTGTGCCCGGATACTTCTTGAGATGCGGTATTCTTGTCCCATAAGAAGGAATACTTGGGAAGCTTTACCCTGAATTATAACAATAATATCATAATGTAACAAATAACGTACACTATGAGGCATTGACCTTTTAGGATATACTTTTAGGATATATTATAGACTATTAATCAATAAAATACGAATATCAGCTGTTTTTATATAAGTTAGTTTATCAAAACCGAGCTTATCAAGCTTATCATAAGCTTAAGTATATTGCATGTTCTTGGATTTATAAGTTTCGCGTAATACACTACGAATATAGGAAGATTACAAAGCTAAAATCCTATCGCTACAATAATACTGTTATTTGTTTAATTATTTGCACTTTTCAAAACTCCTATATTATGTGTTCTAGGAAATTCATGTCGAAGATGAAGTCACGGGATTTTGAAATCAATTTTCCTCACCTCATAGCTGGGTAAAGTGTCTTCGTTACCATCCATAATGATGTAGGCATCAGGGGAGTATGGACACTATCATTAGGAAGATCGGATTGACGTCTAGCTTACCGCCAGGAAACCAAAAAGTTGTTTTATGTTATGTCTTCGTGTCCGCCATGTTTGTTTTTCGATTTTGACAATTGGGTTACCTGTGTTCACAGAAAGCCCAAGAAAACATATCTTTCTCAATCTTTCTCTTTTCCTTTTTCTTCCTTTATTTATTATTATTAAAGGAATTCCTTTATTTTATAATTTAATTTCGTTTCTTTAACTGTTAGATTACTTAGTTTTGTAAAGAAATTAAATTCATGGTAAAAATACCGAATAGATAATATATTAGAACCCAGGCCCTTCTAGGAAGAAAAACAAGCTCAGCGAAACTGCAAGTGATCGATGCGAAAATCGTAATGCATGAAAGAAGAATGACATAGTTGTTGTATTCCTGCTTTTTTCGCTGTGCGATGAGTAGAAAAATCTTTGAGGGGTATGAGTTTGCTTTKGATTCCTCAAGTTTTACCTATGTGCCGTTCAAAAAGAAGCAAAAACTCCGTGAAGACATCACTTCCAATGGAGGAATCGTCTCGTATATTTTGACAAGAAAGGTATGAATTGTCAATGATTGCTGCTTGACTGACTTAGATAGGAAGAGTTTTGAACTTAACAATGATTTTTGCAAAATTTGTGAATTTTGTGGTATTTTTGAGTTGGTTTGCGATGCAGAAACCTTCCTTCGTCTACAGGAAGTTTCTTTGATGATCAACAACTCTGGTTTAGGGGGGAGGGGGTAAAATTATGCATACGTATATCTACAATGTTTTAAAAAATATTCTTTTTAGTCACACGTTCTGCTGACAGCTGATCCAAAAAAGACGTATTCATCTTACAAAGGAGCTACAGCATTAAAATATGGCACCGAGATTGTTAAAATGGAGTTTATTGAAAACTGCATCAAAAAGAAAGAGTTCATAGATCTTCCACTTTATACTTATCCATTCTGTGACTCTGAATATCAACTTGAAAATAACCAGCTGAAGACGGGCAAAATTAACAGTAAGATGGCATAGATTACTACTACTTCCTTATAATAATGATGATGATGACGATGATGGTGATGATTAATTTGAAGCGCCTCTACTATTTTTTGTAATGACTCTGTGATATTCTTATCTCCACAGCATACTCAAAACCAAAAGATTTATCTTCCAATAAAAATAAAAAAGAAACTAATTTGATCAAATTTGACGATTCAAAATTAGCAAATTTAAGGTAATTTGAACAATATAAAATATAATTCTATAAATTAATCCACCATTCTCCTCTTATGTATATAAAATATTTTATTTTAAAGTGTTTGGCCTTATAAAGATGCTAGAAGTTCACCACCCTATTCTGAGAAAGACTACAAGATAGCCAAAAATGTGTTATTCAAGGTATGACTAAAGCAATAGAAGACCAAACATTATGCCAATTGAATTCCCTAGAGGGGATCGTGTAAAGAATAATGTGAAGCAATATTTATGCAGATGAATCGTGTAGCTGATTCCTAGTGATTGAAATATGTGCTCACCAAGAGAATGCTTCTCAATAAATGATGTACTAATCAATTAAAATACTCAACGATAGTTATCAGTGAAGATTTCTTTTGTGATCAAAGTCGTGTAAGATGTTAAATGTTTTGCTTATGATTTGCAGCAAAATGATGATGATGGAAAGACAAGCAAGTTTCTTGAAATTGAGCTGCATGTTATACCTCAACCTATCCCATGTGAATCTCAGCGATACCGTATCTTTACTCACCACGGCAATTTAGAACTATTAAAGCACCATAATGAAGGGCATGGTCAGGGGTTTAAGGAGTGTTGTTATGTGTACACGGCAGAAGAAGCAATGGGTATCTATGTTGCATTACATGACAGAGCTGCAATAAGTAATGGTTATATGAGGGCTTCATCACTTTTGTCATCCAAGATTGGATCTGATAAAATGAAAGAGGTTTGTATGAATACATGACATGACATGAAGCAAGATGTCATGTGCTTGCAGCAACAAATGGCTTTACTCATTGCAAACTTTGATTAATACTAACATCACATGTTGTTTAATGTTTTTAGCAATATCTTGACATGCAGTCAAGTGGTGATGGAGCTCAACCTCTACTAAAATCATCAGGTCTATTAGAAGTAACAAGTCTTGTGAAGTGTCTGTGGGATGAGGCTGATAAGCTTGTGGGTGATGTTATCAAAGGGACTGTTGAAAACATAAAACTTCAAAAACTACAGGAAGCTGAAGCTATTTTGACGTTAATGAAGGGATGTCTGGATGATAGTGGTAGCCAGGACAAGATGCAGAAGCTCTGGGGAGATTTCTGTCAATGTATACCTCAGGCTAATGGTTTAGACGCTGTCTCAAAGTTTAGCAAAAGCCTCATTGCAGAGAAACAGAATTTGTGTCAGGTGGGTTAAGTGACATTTAGTACAACATTTGCTATAAAAATGATGTGATCATCATATTGTTCATAATATCATTTTTGTCATCATTTTTATAGTCATAGGCAACTTTCAAAGTCTCAACATGTCACTGTCAATGACCAGAGCACTGGGAAAAACTAACACAATTATTAGTTAACCTATTCATAATGGTTTTTCTTGATTTCTTTGTTTTTAATAGATCATAAGGGACATCATCACAGTTGGTGAATGCTATAACATGTCATCAGGAAAGTCAGACTTAACTCTTTATAGAGCTCTAAAATGCCACATTGATTACATGGAACATGACAATGAAGAGTTTAAAAGAATCAAAGCTTATATTTTGTCAAGCCAGACATGGTACGTAAATGAAACAATTTGATAACTCTTTAATCAAATTTCAATATTAATTAATTATGTATTATTGAGCTAAAACTCAATTAAGTTATTTTGTGTGATGTAATGAGTTTGTCAACAAATTATTCTTTCAGTTCTTCAGAAGTAGAAATCATCAATATCTTCTCCCTTCACCGTCCAGTAGAGGAAAGCAATTTCGCACACAACATTGATGACAAAAGACTTCTCTTCCATGCATCGAGAGTATGTTATGACGAGAAAAAGATATTATGATTCAATTGCATTTGTTTATTGAATATATCATTAATAATTTCGTCTTCGCAGGCAAACAACTTTGTTGGAATCCTTTCAAGGTAATTTTATCTAGTTAATTGCAATTTCTATCACTAGATGTAATTCTCACCAATCAAACTATCTGTTGTTGTCCAATTTTAGAGGGTTACTGCTTCCTAAGATCATTGTAGATGACTTTGGTGGCGTGAGATCTGATGCTGGCATGCTTGGAGGGGGAATCTATTTTGGTGATTCTATAAGGTATTCAGAAGTTAAAATTTATTGTATCATTTATTATATTATTCAATAATTAAACTCAATAATATATCATTGAGCTGTTATCATTCATGATTATAGTACTAGTGCTAAATACTCAACCTGTGGGGGCAATGGTTCCCGGTTTATGCTGATTAGTGAGGTGGCATTAGGTAAAATTAAGGTAAGGTTCCCATATTCAAAATATTTTTTTGTTATTTGATTTGTAATAAATCTTGCAAAGCTCTTCATTAAACTTTTACTGAGTTTATACTTAATGAACTAAATGAATTACTAAAACAAGCTACTAATAAATCCTTACAGCGTTACAGACATTTTAACAAAGAGTTGACATCGCCTCCTGCTGGCTTTGATAGTGTTTGTGGTGTTGCTGAGACAAATCAAGAACCATCAGACTTTAAAAACAATGAATTTGTGATTTATAATACAAACCAGCAACAAATGAGGTATGATAACACAGTTATGTGTCAACCTGGATAAGATATATTTGGTTTGTATCCTGCTTGCTCATCTTTTAATTTTGATGCTTGAAGTTAAACCTGCTAAAATCTTCTTTTGTAGATATCTTGTTGAGTTTAGTTTGAATGGAGAGCACACAAGAAAACGTCAAGTTGATGTTACTTTATTGCAAGAACTAAATATTGAAGAGGATGAAGAATCAGAGAACCAAGATTTTTATGGTAAATCAATGCAATATTTGGATAGTTAATACTGCTACTTTTGTATTGAAAACTATAATTACATCCCTGCAGCTCGGCAAATTGATGTATCAGATGTTATGTCTGTGGCTGATCCATTGTCTAAGGTCAAAGCAGGTCTTAAAGGCAGTGGTGATGTACCCGTCCCACTTCAAGCTGTACATATTCGAGCAAAACTAATGGACCTTGTTGGTCAGGTACAGATAGATAATTAAATTAAATGAATGAATGAATGAATGAATGAATACATGGTAAAATGAATAAAAGGATGAGTGAATGAAGAAATAATAATAATAATAGATGCTTGATTAGATATAATGTCCTGATTGATTGACTGACAGATTGATTGATTGTATCTTTGTTCTGTAGGTTGTAGTTTTACAATCTTACAAGAATAACAGCTCTGTACCTATAGAGGCAAAGTATGTCTTTCCACTGGACGACATGGCTGCTGGTATGTGTTTCTTATGTATCATTATTACATTATTTCATTAATCAACCTGGGATAAGGCCATTAATTGGATATTGGAAACAACAGAGTGACATGATTGATTGATTAATTGAGTGAGTTATAGATTCATTAATTGAAAAATTTGCTATTTTTTCAGTTTGTGGTTTTGAGGCTTTCATAAATGGAAAACATGTCATTGGTGAAGTAAAAGAGAAAGAGCAAGCTCACAAGGAGTATCGTGAAGCCATCAGCAAAGGCCATGGAGCCTACTTAATGGATGAAGAAACGCCAGTAAGCCACACACACCATGTGTCTGCTAAAACTGTAGTATTGCTGCATTTAATCCTTAATTTCTTGTTTTATTTAGGATGTGTTTACCGTGAGTGTCGGCAACCTTCCTCCGAATGCAAGTGTCTTGATCAAGATCACATATGTAGCAGAACTTAATGTTGAGGGAGAGAGCATTTGCTTCAAGTTACCTGGGTCTGTAGCACCATGGAAACAAAGTCAAGCTCTTGATTATGAAATACAGGTTAACCATAAACAGTGATATATCATTTATTATATTATGTTATAATGAGGAAATCACAATTAAATGGTATTTTTTGTATAATTTGCAGAGTGATGTTGACACTGTCAAGGTTGAGCAAGAGAGGTAACAATAAAACATTCTTTCCACATCTCACTGCTTTTTTTTTTTTTTTTTGTTTGTTTTTTGTTTTTTATTTAATTGTCATTTTTGACTCAGAGATTGCATTTGAAAGGAGCTAATCTATCACTCACTCACTCATTCACTCGCTAACTTTCCTGTGAATTGTCTTTTTGTTATTTAGAAATACAACCATTCAAGTTGCTGTAGAAATGCCTTTTGATATCAAGTCTATCAGATCACCAACCCATCCTATCTTAATCAAGGTAAAAGAAAGCAACTGATGTTTTAGTCAAAAATACTCCTTAACTGTATCTTAATCTTATTAATTATCAGCGTACTGCAACTAAAGCTGTGGTAGAGATGGCGTCAGGTCATGTGATAGGTGATGGGTTTCAGCTTGTCATCCAATTGGCTGAGATTCATGTTCCCAGAATGTGGGTCGAGAGCCATGATACAAGACATGATAGTGAAGTATGTTTTAAAATCTCTTTAGTCCTATCTGATACCAATCAAACACAACCATTATACTTCTTTATGTTGTGTCCCTATAGGCTGGTATGCTGGTTTTTTATCCAGAGTTTGAATCAGAAACATGTACACAAGCGGAAGTCTTGTTTTTCTTGGATGCATCAAATTCTATGCAGGTATTATTCATGATATATGCTTCAAATATCAACTACGCATTACTAACTGAATCTATCATGTCATTAATTTCTTTGTTCACATAAAGTCTTGTAGTAGTCTAACAGCAAAAATCAACAGTTTCTTTGTCAAATTGAGACTTATTTTTCAGGGTTCATGTCAAGTTGATAGTCCATTTGAACAAGCAAAGAAGATACTTTTAATGTGTTTGACAATCTTGCCTGACAACTGGCTTTTTAACATTGCTGTGTTCGGGAGCTGTAAGTATGATTAAAGAACAATATAGTCGCCTTTCCAAATTCCCTCACCACCTTGAAGGACAAATGTACCTTTGCAATGAACGGAGATGGTTACTTTGGTACCTATGATTGCAATTCCATTGGTTGTCTTAGTTGCCTTTTTGACTATCAATTTTCTGTTTTTAATTTCTTTCTCCAAGTATTTGTTTGTATTTTCTTTACTTCATTAGCGCATAGTGAGGTCTTTCCAACTAGTCGACCAAAAGACAACTTCACAGTCACACAAGCTACTGATTTCATAATGGTAATATATATTGGCTATAGTGATGGCCACATACTTGATCTTCAAACAGGTTTATAGGACATTGTTTTGATGATATCAAATATTTTTGATAGTCTGCAACTTCTCGCAAAGGAGGTACTGATTTATGGAGAGTTTTGGAGTCATTGAGTTTGATCCAATCCATGTCAGCCGCAGATCATCCCAGAAACGTCATCATCATCTCCGATGGTCACGTGACAGAGGAAGCCACAACCATGAAGCTGGTTAGAAAACATCGACTAAAGACGAGAGTGTTTACAATGGGTGTTGGGTGAGTGATTTGATTGATTGATTACTTCTTGTAAGACATAGCACAACGTCTTGATGTATGTTTTATTGCAGTGCATCAAGTAATCGCCACTTTCTCCGTTCTCTTGCACGTATTGGTGCTGGTGACTGTGAATTTTTTGATTCCAAGATAAAGTCAAAATGGGAAAGAAAGGTTTCTTTCATTTTTTCGATTTCTTTCTTTCATTTCTGACAGTACTAAATCTAATAAGCAATGTTTTTCCGCTTGAAAAGGTTAAAGAGCAAATTTCCAAGTGTGGACAGCCTGGATTGACGTCAGTATCAGTTACTTGGCAACAGCACGACAGCTGTGCCACGCCCCCTGAGCAGGTTTGATATGCAGCAGTTTGTCCATTATATTCAGAAAAAAGCAACGATAGATATGCTTCATTTTAGGCTCCACATGAGATTGTTTCTTTGTTCAATGGATCAAGACTTGTGGTATATGGCCTGATATCTAATTGTACACAGGTAAGACTGCTCCTGCTCCTGCTCCTGCTACTGCTCCTGCTCTTAACGATCTACCAATTACATTTCAGGCCAGTCTGTCAGCTGAAGTGAACAGCAGGGAAGTTTCCACAGTGGTCTCCACATCTGATCTCAGTATCACCAGAGGCAAGATTTTACACCAGCTTGTTGCCAGGGCGATGATTCGTGACTGGGAAGAAGGAAACTTAGACGCTGATAACACATTACATGAGGTAAGTCAGTGAGGATCAGCCAAGTCGTTATTGTTATATCTATTCCCCCCTGGGGTTAAAACTCTTTTTTACCATTTTAGGTTGCCAAACATGACAAAAAAGATTGTATCATAATGCTCAGCAAGGAGTTCTCCATCGTGTCCCAGTTTACCAGTTTTGTGGCCATTGAAACTAGAGAAAAAGATGAAAAATTCGATGCTGACAATGGTCCTAGTATACTAGAACTAGTGGCTGGTGAAAACGTTGATATTATACCATATGTTGGATGGGAGGAAACAAATCAAACACAGATTACAGAGAAAACCAAACCGGTAATGATGACACGCTTGTGATAACGATAATGATGGGTGATTTGATTAAGAAAATGATGATGATGATAATGATAATGATGATTGGTTTTCAGACTCCAGAAGACAATGTCCATCGATTGCTTGTAGAAGCAAAGTCACTAGAAGGAGTTTCACTTCTTCAGTCAGAAGATCTTTATAAAGACGCTTGTACCATTGTATTTGACAACTTTGAGGAGCTGAATTTGGAAACAAGTTGGCAGGCATTTAAAGATTTAGCCCACTTTTACGCCAAAGTGTTAGGGGACGATGACAAGAAACTTGTGATTCTTGTTGTTTTAGTGTGCATTCTAGGTAAATAACATGTAAAAATTGCATTGGGTCGAGTTATTTATAATGATGTTTTACTGTCTTTCATGGCTGTGAATCTCGAGCACAGAGTCTTTGTCAGTGGTCTTCCACTCTATGACAAACGTGCGGGCTCTGGGTGCGATATTGCACCACTGTCACAGATCTTTACAAAAACCATGTTGCATTGTGGTCTAGTTGCACTATATTTGGCAGCATAAACAAACGATAATGCCATGCTTGATATTATTTCAGAAAATATCTACTTAGGGCTGCTACAAAAGTCTTTAGTATTAATGTTATTCTTCATATCTTTCATTTCTGCTGCTTCAAACGTTTTTACTTCCCCCGCCCCCTTACCCTAACCCTATCCGACTCCTCATAAGTATGTTTCAATGGTCTTGTTTAATTTTCTCATCTTTATATTTCTTATGTTTAGAGAGAGGAAATGTTGACATAGACGTGCTGGATCGGACCAAATTTGGTGATCTCATTGACTGCTTAGAGACCTTAGAAAATGTCACTGATATTGATGACAATGAAGAAATTCGACGTATATTAAGAGTTGGTCAATCAATGTTTCCTTCAGAGAATATAAAGGATATCATCAAAGATTATTTATCAGAAACAGAAACTTCTGATGGTTCAAGTTCCAATTCAGACTCCGTTTCGACTGATTCGGAAGATGAATGGGAAGAAGAGGGAGTGAAAGAAAGGGAAAAGTACAGCACAAGTTCGAGTTCTATTACTTGTTGTGGTGTAGAAGATGAAACTGAGGTTCAGGCAAGAACTAAGATGACTGAGTCCGAAGACCAGCTCTTTGGAACAAGAAGAAGAGCAGGTGCACGCAGATTCGAGCGATTCCACAGATACTCTGATAGCGACGTTGACAGTCCGGTTGAGCTTGAAGATGCCGATCGTGATAACAGTAGAGATACTGAGGTGGACATTGATGAGAACATTTCATACTTCTGCTCCATTGGTAACAATAACAACTTTAATAGTAGAGTGGTTTTCAGTAACCCTTGAAATAATGTGTAATAGATAAGACGCATTAAAGTTTGATGAACCAAAAGACAAAAAAAGGTGAACAATAAAGAATAAGAAAAGTGTATTAAATAATTAAAATGTATTTCACGGCTTATTGAAAACCACTGAAATCTAATTTTGTAGAAATAATTGTAGACGCATCGAGGGAAAGGGAAAGAACGAAGCGTTATTTGTTTGCTTAAATTTATCATAGATCAATTTTCCTTATTGTACTTTAGATGATGACGATGATGGAGACGATGATTATGATGATTTAATTGAACTTAAAGGTCCCCGACATAGATCAGAACTTCTCATGGAAATGCTATCCGCAGGATGTAAGATGATTGTACAATTTGTAGCACGGTGTTTGTGTATTAACTATGACTAATTGCTTACTTGGTGCTTGTTTATCATATAACAATTTTCCTTTTTGTACTTTAGATGATAAAGATGATGAAGAAGTATATACTGATATGGAATCTGCAGTCCACAGAAATAGATCAGAGGAAAAGCGATCTAAAGGTAAGATGAGTGCAACTCAGATAACCATTGCTTGGTGTTATATATTGGAAGATTTTAAAGCGATATATATATATTTTATAATACAGTTTATGGTTATGTTCCCGAAAAATCTGAAGCTGAGCCGACTGTCACATGCTATAAAGCTTCAGCGGATCTCAAACCGTACAAGGCTTCACTAATGCTTGGTAAGGCGGATGTTAAAAGTGAATCATTTTCAATCCCAATTGAGCCGCAAAAAGAATATTACTTGAAAATGAAACCCCAACGTCGTGCATTCTTAGCGAGTGAAGTGCCAAAAGAGCAACAGTCAACAACAGCACCAGCTGTTGGATTTGGCTTATTTGGCTCTGTACAACAACAACAGCAGCAGCAACAACAGCAACAAGAAGTAGCACCTCCACTGTTTGGTACTGCTGATGCAAATAGTTCAACAGGTATTTTTGGGTCTGCACCGAGTTCGTTATTTATTTTTGGTTCATCTTCTGCTTCCAAAGTGAGCGGCGGATTATTTGACTCGGTGCAGCAACAACAGCCAGAAAAACTATCCCAGCCAGTGTTTGGTAGTGCTGCACCAAGAAGTTCATCAAGTAGTTTTGGTTTTGCTTCGTCTTCTGGTCCAGCATTTAGTGCAGAGCAAACCGGCATGGGAATGTTTGGATTGTATCGCTCTATGCCTAAAACAAAATCAATGGATGGAAGGGCTGATGGAATACCATCTGGTTTTGGAGCACCACCCAGTGGTGCGGGCATTGAATTGGGTGGCTTTGCATTTGGAGGATCAACAAAACCAGTTGAGCAAATGGAAGGTACTACTCTTTTTGGAGCACCATCCCGTGGTGCCGTCAATCAATCGGGTGGCTTGGCGTTTGGAGTACCACCAAAAACATTTAACCTAATGGGAAATACCAGTCTTTTTGGGCAGCAAGGTAGTTCAGGTGGAAATTTGCTAGGTTTTGTGAAGGGAACAGAAGAAAGTATCTCACCTAGTCCACCTTCTCCTCAGTACAGTCCAACCTCGCCAGGCGTCGATCGCTCACAACCTTTACTCATGGGTAGGTCAAAACACATCTTTCTTAATGACTTTTGATTGTTATTTCAATTATCTGTAGACATGGGAATGCAGCTGCACCTGAAGGACAAAACAATGGATTCTAGTTCCCAAGAGGGAAATAATCTTGTGTTTTGTCCTCCTGGAGCTGCTTTGACGTCACATGCAAGGGGTCTGGTGCTGGTTCAGAGTACGACATAGGCTATCACTAGTGCTTAAGTCGTAGTAGAAACCGTTTTATTTTTGATTATCAAGCCTACGCACCTACACAAAAATGACATCTAATTCCTGTGTCTGAGGGTTGTTTGAGAGTTTTTTCGTTAGTGTTCTGAAGTTGGTCAATGTAAATATAGTGTCTGTTTCTGAATTAATATGAATTATATTTGCTAATTAATAGTTTAATTGTGAATATGTTATGTCTGAACCAGGTGTAAGCGATGTAGGTGTGATCGTCCGGTAGTTACCACCTGACATTTCGACGTCCTGTGTGGAAGTTATATTCAGAGTGAGAAGACGAACAGACAAAGTCGGTATTAAATATGTAAATATCCACACAGGATGTCGAAACCTCATGTAAAACTATAACAGTCGTTCTCAAGACGTCTCACACCAGGACCATCATATTACACCTAATTTCAATATTTTATGTCTGTCATTTATATACATATTTATTTTCATTGATTTATCTTATCGCGATCTCTTGCAGAAGATGAAAAATTTGCTGTAAATGCGGTCCTACCACCGCCCCCTCCTCCACCTCCTGCTCCTGGGGCAGGGCCACCTCCTAGTAGAGGACCACGCCCCCCAACTCCTGCCCCTAGGAGAGGACCACGCCTCCCAACTCCTGCCCCTAGGAGAGGTCCACCTCCTCCACCTCCTGCCACTGGTGCAGGGCCATCTCCTCCACTTTCTGCCACTGGGGCAAGGCCACCTCCTCCACCTCCTAGCAAAGGACCACCCCTTCCACCTCCTGCCCCTTTTGGGGGACCACCTCCTCCACCTCCTGCCCCTTGTGGAGGACCACCTCCTCCACCTGAAATAACTTCACTGCGAGCTAAGCGACGTGCACGTTCAGCCATGCCTCAACGAGAGATAGAGAGCTTAATCCAAGAACGAGAGAGCTTAATCCAAGAACTTAAAAAAGCAGTCCCACCACCTCCACAAACAATGAAGGATGAACTGGAAGTAAAGATGTACRGTAGCCGCGTGCATGAGGCACCACGACTGTCATTAGAAGATGAGACTGTCGAGTCGACCTGGCATCTTAAGCGAATAGAATTAAGAGAACTGATACGGCAAAGAGAAGAAGGTACAAAGCAAGTTTGGTATTAAAAATAACTCAACTTAAACTGATCCGTTTTACTTTGATTATCAAGCAGAATGCCGTACAGAGAGTCCTGAACGTGAAAGGGAACCGCGATTTGCGACCTGGGGTAGAAGTTCAGAGCCCAAAGAAGAAAGAGAACAAGTACAGAATGGTGAGTGAAAATAATAAACTCATCAGTCCACGAATAATTTCAATGTTTCTTTCCATCTGTTACTATTGATAGCAAACGCACTACCGTTGAAAACACGGGAATTGATAACATCTGAAGAGAAATCACCCCATCGTCCCCGCCTTCGTGGTGCAATAAACCTGGAGATAGGAAGCACGATCGAGGAAGATGAAGTGAAGGGTTAGTCATAGTCAAATCAACCCATCAGTCAAAAAAATTACTTTACTGGGACGAAGACTGAACGCCAATATACGTTGTATAATCTGTTGACATAGCTTTGATATAACAAACACTTGCCTCCTGTGGCGCATCCTACACGATATTGGAGGCAACCAATTGTCCGTCTGTCAGTCAAATCAAGTGTCATCAAGAATTCAATTATTCAGTGAACTGTCAATCAATCAACTGGGCAAGCTTCTTTCAAGCTTCTCTAATATAACTTCTCAATCTGATAGGTCAGCGAAGAGCAGCCTTATTGGCGGCAGTGAAGGGAAAGAAGAAGAAGTTAGCAAAAGTTGAAGGTTTGTATAAGTCTTTGATAACCAACCCTTAATCTGGAAATCATGGATATACATGCACATTTTCTTTTCTTTTCTTTTCTTTTCTTTTCTTTCTTTCTTTCTTTCTTTCTTTCTTTCTTTCTTTCTTTCTTTATTTATTTATTTATTTTTTTTTTCTTTACCAGCGAGAATGGCTCATAATCAGCTGATCGAAAAGCTGTTTCGTCAACAAGATCCCGTAAGTTGTTTGAAATGTTGTAAGTGATATAGGGCTGTCTGTAATATAGAGGTGACATTAATATCGAGGTTACCGTACTATAATGGCGTCCGTCATACAGCGGTTCTCATAATATTGAGGTGTCCGTAATATGTGTCCACTTATCGAAAATTCAATATCACCGCGTGAAAGACCACACTAAAATAAGGGTTCTTCTCAAGTTTGTGCATATTTGGTTGAATACTCACCGAGTAGGAATTTTTTCAAATTTATAAAAATAAGAGAATGTCATGGTTTTAGGGGACGCTGCTCAAATGCTCCATACATTCTTTGTAATTTTTTCGAGTTTTAAAGGCTTGTAACTCTGTAAATATTAATCCAAATATGCTCAAACTCAGCAACTATACTACTTTTAGTATGCTCTTTCTTGTTCTGGTGTCTATTTTTCCATTGCTTCAAACGGTATCGAGTTTGTGACCAGTCCCTTTTTGAATTTCGGTATGGGCAATCACTATGCTGAAGTGTTGTTGGCTTATAGGATGGTTTCTGGACGATGGATAAAGCGGTTTTTGCTTCGTTTGGACTTGACAGTGATCGATGTGAGACTATAGTCAAAGAACTTGGAGCTTTGTCACTGGGTAGGTACAATTAACCCACGACTAACAGGCCCCAGTAACCCTGAATTAGGAAAGACTCTGGTTTCGAGATTGTCTTTTTATTCCATTGACGCCATTGTTATATTTTTTTCTTTTTTTTTTGTGACAGGAAATGAAGTTTATCAACAAATTCTCAAACTGATTGCCACAATGATAATGCTTGCATTGCTCCGCACTCGTTTCCCAGACTTATTTCCACACTCACTAGGCCATTTTACAGCTCTTCTCACACGGTCATTTCTGGCCGATGAGAAATGGGGACAACAAATTAAAAAAGCCCTTCATTGGGTTAGTACAGTTGATAAAAAGGTCCCGTCTGTCTGTTTTCGGTTGGAGCTTGGGCCAAATTGGGAAAAAGCTTCTGATTGGCTAATTCAGAGATGTCGTAACGACTCGGACGTCATTTGTTTTTAGTAATTCCTAGTATTTTGAATGGTTCCTGGAAACTCGTCATTGTGTGATATAAACATATGAAAATATAAAGAATACAACGATTCAACAATTTGTAGGAATAGAAATTACGTTAATAGACAATTTATAAAATATAGCAATTATACACAAYGCACAGATACAATATTATATTCTACTTTGACTGTGAAAGAACAGGCCTTTAGTCATCAAACCCATGATGTTTTTTGCACACTATACCCCTGCACAAATACAATTTGCCTCTGGACACGGAATCTGTAATCCGACAAAATTTGGGCTCTGGAATCCGGAATCCAGATGCTTGGAATCCGGAATCCGATAAAACGAGGTATCCGCACTCCAATTAGTGACTTTAAATATTTCCTTATTGAAACGAGTCACCAATGACAAAGAAGCTAGGATGTTTTACATTCGTAATTTAATATGGTCGAGTAGAATCCAGAATCTTGCGGGATTTGTCATCAAAGGAATCCGGAATCCAGGAACGCTCTACATTCCGTATCACGAGGCGATGTAAAAAAATTTCACAGTCAAAAGACAGCTATAAGCATAGAAACAAGAATAAGCTAATTAAAGACCAAAAAGATAACAAAGAAAAGAACCGTTTTAATTTCTTAATCCCAAAATCTATTGTTTTTCATCCAGTATGCTTACAGCGTAGTGAAAACCAGGCTTAAATGCATGATGCACGAGAACAAACATGACTCATTCACTAAAAAACAAGAGAATAGAATAGCCTTATAACTGCATAGATTAATAAAATCAACTTCACAAACAATGRCAGTAGTTTTCTACTCAATCAGCCGTTAAATTGGTAAATGTCAATTTCCTTGAAAACCCGGCAGATTAGGTTGTAGTTGATTGACGTCCTCGGTCCCCCTACTAGTTCATCCGGCCGGGGGGGCTTGCCGTTTCAATTGGTTGAATTCCTGTAATCAGTAAAATAGCATATGGACTTCCAGTCAGGATGTACTATTATTTACCATGACGATACTTCCGAAAGTGCAATTCACAATTATCAAACCTTGATACTTGGAAGGTTTCACCACCTTTTTTGGAATACACCTGGTCAAGTCCCGCGTTCTCGATAGTCAGTCAGGTCATTAATATTCAAAAATGAAGGTAGTTTAGATGTTTTTGAGCCCTTGCTTATTCGGTTCATTTCCTCATACGATTTTATATCGAAACGAAACAAAATTGTCTGGCAAAATTCGGGGGTCTGTAAAACAATTTGGTAGACGGGCGTAGAAACAGGTTGAGCAAAAGAGCGGGAAAAATACGAATTGTCGTCTTCCAGCTGCGGTTGCATGCGGGAGTTCTTGGTATAATAAGTTTCTAACTAACTTTGTCTATCGTATGATGGATCGAGCTGAGTTTTTCCTTTAATCTGATCGATATTTTAAGTGATGATCGATAAGAGTTTCGTACGATCACCGGATGAGCTATGTAGCTCAAACCAACTGCGCTCTCGTTCAAACCTGACAATTTATCGTACTTTCAGGCAAACATTTGAATCAAGCAAACAGGAAACTTGTTTTGTTTTTTCTCTAGTATAAAGACTGTGAAGGATCAGAAATGGTCTAGGGTTTTTTTTAAGGCAGCACTATGCCTTTTCGTTTTCGTTTGGCTCAAAATAGCAAATATCCAGACTTTTAAAACGAAGGTTGAAGTCAGTACAGATGAGTCATTTTCATTTCCTATAACTGTTGACCAATATCATTTAATCTCAAATTCAAACATGACACATCGATCCGAAACTTTTATCTTCAGCTTGAAGTTTCACCTCAAAGGGTATGATAAAGTCGATTTCTGGGGACGTGACAGAAAAAGATGCGTGACCTAAAGTAGCGATGACGTTATCAAGGTTGTCACGCGGTTCTCGATAAGGAAATCGATGACTAAACTAYCCTATCGTGCTGCGGTCTTACTGCGATTTTGATAGCTGATTAAGGCCAAAGTGAGTTTTTGTGAGACGTAATTGTATGGATATATTCTAAGACGAGTATTTATATAGATATTTTTATGATTTCAAATCACTTAGTTCTGCAGAAGGCCACAGTGTGGACCATAAARTGAAAAAAACGCAGTGAAAAAAATTATTTCCTTTGTAAAAAAAGTTGTAATAAAACATTGACTAGTTTTGTGAGCCTCAGCTGATTATTACGAGCTAAAAAAAACGATGTGTTTTGCTGACAAAGCCTTTTGAAATATTCCCTTCTTGYTCGCGGTTTTTCTGTTCATCCTGTTCAAGATGGAAAACGAAATTCTGTGAATTCGTGAGTRGGATTTTAAGAAGCGGAACACATATTTAAATCCAAATATCATCACAAAGAAAGGAAGACAGAAAAAATAGAAACAAAAAGAAAGCATTTCAATTTCAAGCGCCGTTGTTCTCAATTTCATTCATTCGTTTTATATGATGTAAAAACGCTAATGTACAGAAAATTGTTCTTGGTTGATTTTTTGGTTGTTGTTTTCTTTTTCTAGATGGTTAGGTCTGGTTAGTGAACCGTGTTACAAACTTCCTGTCTATTCCCAAGGATAAAATAACATGAAACATGCTAATATGACCAATAATATGTTATCTTTTCATACAAAATTCGAGAAATAATTTATAAAATGTATATTGTATTCATATCTATTATGGCATCGTATTCTATGACACTAAAGAATTTCCAAGGTCAAACTAAGGTTTAGAAGAAAAACATTTTTAACTGTAAAAAAATTCTGCCAACATATCATAGAATTGATGCTCAAATTCTACTGATTTATTCACTCAGGAAAAAAAGATTGTAGTAATAAAAATAAGGCGTCTATAATTGGAAACATCGAAAGGAAATACCTCAGAAAAACTAACAGCGGAAGTTAAAAATTCTACTCAGAAATCCTCAAAAGAGCATACAAAAAAAWTTTCGCTTTTCTTTCCTTTCAGAAATCTTCAWATGGGTTTTAGGAAAAAATTCATAATATTCTATAATAATGATGACGAGACTTGTTGCGTTGTATGCCAAGGTGATCGAGTGAGACTGGGGCTAGTCAGGGTACTTGTTCCTGTGTTATATTAGAGGGTTAGGAACTGAATAAGCCATTGGCTTAGTCATGCTCGACACAACGGTACCTGGGAGAAATGTTCCATTGTATCATGGCTTACCTATRYTAACTTCTGTGAGTTTTTGCATGAACTCAGATGGCTACAAACCAACAGAAAATTCRATCTCAAAACGGAACTAAGGAAGATACATCTTTGAGCTCTTCTGCAAGTAACGCATTCCATGAAAGAGAATTTATTTCAAAACTTTTGAGTGAGAAAAGGACGCTTCTTGCTACTCTTCATAATGAAAAGAAAGAGAAGATCAAATGGAAGGAAGAATACGAGAGAAAAGTTGAGGAGTTTGAGAATTTACAAAGACACATTGGACTTGAAGGCGCAGGAAGTTGTACTCAGCTACTCGGTGCATTAAATTTGGATGAGGGAGATAACGAAAGAAAACATTTGTATAGAAAACTACGAGAAAAAGACGAGAAAATCAGTGAAATGCAAGGTAAAAATGACCGTTTATTAAATCAAGTGGCTGTATTAAAAACGGAAGTTATCAGACTTGCTGGATCTTTAACTCGACTCGACGCGGTACAATCTGTAGATGATACAGATTTACTAAGAGAACAGTTGGAACTTTATGAACAAGATTTTAAAAAAGAAAAGGATGATAAAATGAACGCGCAAGAAAAATTATCAATTCTCTCAGAACAGCTTCGTGAAAATCAAGATATGATTCAAACTTTGATGGTAGAAGCGGATATGTACAAGAAAGCTTACGAGCGAGAGAAAACCGAGAAGGAAAAACTCTTATTAAGAAAATCTAAGCCGGGAAATGATTCTTCGAGGAACTCGTCCACGGAGAGCGCGGGGTTACAAAGACATCAACAACCTTTGCCTAAACCTCATCTACAGCTTGTGTACCCTGTTACAAATGACCGGCAAAGAGAGGACGATGTAAGACGCCGACGCCAACTGCAACAGATTGGGGTTTTAACCCGAGATATTCAACGATCTCCTACGCATTTACATCATCATTGTGAGCCTGAAGCAGACGGTGGGCAATGGTGGCCAACGTAATCATGGTGTACATATAACATATGTAGTTTAGAAATCAAAATATTTTCGTCATCAGGGGAGTACAATCAACAGAATTTCAAACCGCGTTAACTTCCGCTCTRCTGCGCGCTATTATAAATTATGTATATTATTTTATTTTTACTCATACAGTATACTACAAAATATAAATAAACCATCGCTCTTGTCAAGAACAGGGAATTCTTTTTTGTTAATATTTTGTCGATATTCCTGGAGAATTGAATTTTGATGTTACGTGATTTTGAGGGATTTCTTGAGATGGTTATAGAATGTAGTTATTGTGCGCGAGAATTCGTGGAAATYATTTCAAATTCCKKTAAGACGAGCTGACCTTGACTGACTATCTATTGTTAACATGTCTCAGAATTCCGTTTCTAACGCTCTTCCTACCATTTCATGTTTTCCTATTTTCTTTCTCTTCAATTAAAATAATAATAAAAATCCGATTTATAAATGCTTTTTACAAATTTATAACTGATTTTGTGGGGGCGTCAATATTCTATTTATTGTACTTAAGTCCTTTTCTTCGTCCTGTGTTAGATTGCTGCTTTTCATCCAATATTTTTACTGGTGAATTTTTTGTTGTGATGCTTTGAGTTCACCGTATCTCGCCACAGTCCATTGCGCAACAGGAAGTCGTTGTCAACTCATTGACCCGTCKTGACTGACATATAGTTCCTGTATCKCTCCGGCACTCGCCATTGAATTCACCTTAAAAACTCTTACAAATGGCTATACAATGGTCGAATTAYAATAAAAACAKTTTTCTTACTTTGTTTCCCTCGCTAACGAGAGAATTTCAGTAATTTTAACAATTATTTTTGTTTTTTTTTATTATTTCTGCTTTATTTGTAGATAAAATATTTATACATCACATTTTAGGTCCGTCATTTTTAGCTCTTGATAGATATAAATAGGTTAGAAATTATTCAGGTAACGAGAATAATAATATTTGTACGGTCATGCTTGCTATGAGCAGGCGAATTACATATCGTTTGAATCGTTACTTGATATGGGTCTTATACTTGATGACACTATGTTTAGACGACTCAAACTCCGTGATTTTGACATACGAATTTGCTGTCAAATGTAATTCCTCAAACATATCCATATTCATGCCACGTTCCTGTTCTAGAACACTTAATCGTAGTTCTTTGTTGTTG